ATTGGACTTTTTGGGAATCAGTTTTACTAAAGCTATTTTCTATTGCCTTGGGAATACACCTGTTTCAATAGATTTGTTAATTATTCTGGTAATAAATGTTCGAGGTAAAGTTAATATTATCATGTTCAGAGTAATGCCATTTTCCTTGTTATTTGTTTTAAAAGATTTTATTATATTAAGGACAGTTGTTTCATTAACCATATTAAGCTTAAAAGTGCTGGACCCAAATCTATCAAATTCATAGACGTGATAAACTGACTTCATTACTGCCGGGGAGCTCAAGAAAATAATGATTTATATTACAACGCAACGTTGCAACGTTGTGCTAACTTTAAGAAAAAAGACATTGAACTACCGTCTCATTTATGTAATCCAAATAATATAAATATTATATTAATAATAAAATCTTTTAAAACAAATGCACAAGGTCATGATGGCATTATTACCTTTTATTATTTTAAAACGATTTTTATTATTTAATTACTTATACCTGTATATGTGTATAATTTTATAGTGATTTATTATTTTCTTTACATTTAATAATTGTTTAAAACCTCCGCTTCTGTGTTGGACCACACCGCGGATTGTTTCGTTCAAACATTTCAATGGAAACGTCCAGCTCTCCATTAATCCATTTCTAAATCGCTCCAGCGAATTTACATGACGTGGCCGGCTATCTGGATAATTTTCAAATTCACGTAGTACCGTTACACGAGACCCAAATTTTAATTTGAAAATTAATCTCATATCAATATCAGTCTACTCATTTTTGTATACACTAAATTGTGAAAAAAAATAGATTCTTCTCATTTTATTATTTAAAATACGTAAAATAGATGAGTATTAAAATTCTATTTGTTTATTGCATGTCATATTACAAATTTATGATTATAAAGGTGTGTTGAAGTTGATGTTGGCGGTGTGCTGTCGTTGCGCCACAATCATAGCACATCGAAACCTAAATCGCGCTATCAAAGTTCTGATGTTTTTAAAAAGAGCAAATTTTAAACGTAAGTTTAAACTTATAAATAATGATAAACTTTTACTGCAGTTCTTGAAATTACGAGTACATAAGGCTAAAGCCTTATAGACAAAGTTTTTATCTACTGATAGACCCTTACGAATGTGCGTACGTGTGAAGTAAAATCAGTTAAAATAGTGCATTTGCCATGCATTTTGAATTTAAAAGACTAAATGGACGATGTTTGAGCTTTTTTTTTAAAATCTTCACTATTTGTTTATTCTGAACCTTCTCTGCAAAATTGGCCGGTTATTGCAAAATAACCCTGTATATAAAACAGTTCCGAAACAAATCAAGAAGCGTTGGCCGCTCCCTGGACAGAAGATCTTGCCCGGCGGGAGATCTCCCCTTTTACTTTCAAGGCCACACATGTATTGCCCTTCAAGGGCATAGTAACACTGGAGGGCTAACTATTATTGAATTATCTAGCTTTTAAGCATACATTATAATAAAATTTCAATATTAATTTTATACAGGATTATTTTGCAATAACCTGCCAAATTTCATGGGCGGTGGTTATCACTTACCATCGGGTGAGCCGTATGCTCATTTGCCCCCTCCTCTATAAAAAAAAGTAAAAGTCGTATTTTCAAAAACCGCCATAACGGCATATCATTATTTATATATTTGAACTTATTTTTAAAAGGCTACTCTTTGAAAAATAACTCCGTATATTAGTCAAATTTAGAAGTAAAATGTAGTCGATATGTACTACATATGCTTAAACCGCCACTAATATCATCCCGTGGGTATTGCAAAAAGCAACACAGGGAAACAAACCAGGAGAAGGGCAGCAGCGCCTTTATACTGAAAACTAAAAATTTATTAAAAGTCTACTAAAACAAACACAGTGACTTTAGTGTTCTGACACTTATTCCTCGCAATTTTTAGAGTATCCAGTTCTGATCACATCAATATTTTCTAAATTTACGGAAAACCCAATTTCTAGGTCAGGTCATCTATAGCACAGGTAGACGCTTGAGCTTCACTTTATTAATCGGAGCATGTACGTCACATAGTCTAAGGACAGCTTCATTCAGAGCCCCAACCGTTTCCACAGTGGGAGCAACCAGTTTCAGTTTATTTTAGATGTATCCATACCGACCTACCAACGGTCAAAACACGTATGTGAAGAATTTTAGACAGAGGTTTAATAACTGAACTAAACGTATAATCACTTAGTTTAGTTTATAGCTTATTGACAGCGATTATTGCTAGAAAAGTGTAAAAATGAGCTTTTGAGCTGATCTTGGTGAGCGTCGGTTTGAATCCTACCGACTGCACTGTTTTGAATTTCTAGGAAGACCTAATGAAACCTCGGGCTTAGCATGCATTCTGATTTTATTATTTTAGTGCTACTTTTAATGCGAATGTTTTGTTGATCTAGTGGTCGCACACGTGGTTGCTGGTCATGAAAACCTGGGTGCAAATCCCGGATCGGGACAAAACCTGTTATTAATTTTTGGTGAATAAAGTGTTTCACCCTCACGCCTCGGAAAGCATTCGTATTGGATTACCGTCCCATCGGACTGTGAGAGCGAGGGTAAAGAGAGTACACTTGTGCTTGCGCATACACTTGTAAAGTATAATCTGGTCCCTAGTCTCCATTGAGACTGGTAGCCGTGACCGTATATCGGTCTGGAGGACGTCTCGCACATTTGACGCAGTTAAAGTAAATACCTATCCGGTGCTCGCTCCTGCACTATAGTCCTATTACGCGCAAATGTCTGGCTAATCTCCGTAACCGGCCGCTGTGACCGATATTCAGTCTTAGGGCATTAATATTGGTGCTACTTAAAAGTAGCCTCATAAATTTATATATACATATACTGACAGTGGTCTTTTTTTTAAGAATAAAGGTGACAAACGAGCACGCAGTCCACCTGATTGTAAGTGAATGTTGTGGCCCATAGACATTTACAATTATCTTCAATTAGGAATCAAAATGCGGATGCGTTACCAGCCCTGAGGTCTGAGATGGAATGCCTCGTTTCCAGTAAAAGGGGCCTACTAATTTCCAGTATTTATTATCAACAATGTTTACTTAATATAATGACAAGCCCTTCATCCCTTTTATACAGACCTTATTTAATGAAGAAATTAAAACTTGATGAAACACGTGACGTTGTATATTTTCAAGGACTTCGTCGTAAAGTTTGCAGTAAGGAATATAATTTTATTGAATGGCAACGAACCGAGGATCCACTGCCACAACTTGATTATACAATCAATGTTTCCATTAGACTGTCTCGATATTTCGCTCATCCGTTTAGATGAAAACTAATGCGTCCTTGAATTGAAAACGTTGATAGACTAGTGATCTGCCCCAGCTTCGCCTAGCTAATATTTATAAATGTGACGTCATTTTTTTAAATTTATTTAATACTTTAAGTTTCTCAGTTAAAATATAGCCTAGATCCCTTTTAAATCGTGAGAATCGATCGGATTATCCTACTAACAACACCTCTCCGACCTCGCTAAACGTTCACACGAATATTCGGGATTAGGAACAAAGTTATTAAGGGCTATCTTTAACAAATTTTTTATATGTGTATCAAATGCGAAATCGAAAGAAAAGATTTTTGACACAATATGTACTAAATAGCGATAGGCGTATGTCCGCACCGCACCGCACCGCACCGCACCGCACTTCATCTGGATATAAACATGCGTAAACACCACCAATAAGAAAAATAAATATAATACACATTTAAGGATTTATAATAATAATGTCCTCCAGACCGAATTTCGGTCACAGCGGGCAGCCTCAACGGAGACTAGCCATCGGCGCAGGACAGGATTATAGTGCCTAAGTATATACGCAAGCACAGGTACACTCTCTATTCCCCTACTCACATGGTCCGATAGGACGGTGAACCGACACAATCGGAGAGAGATCAGGCGCAGGACCAACGGCTTTACGTGCTTTCAGAGGCACGGGGGTGAGACACCGCCAACTTCCTGACTCCGGGCAGCTACTGAGAATTTCTTTATGGAAAAACTCAATAACTGATACTTTTTGACCCGATTCGGGATCCGAGCCCGGGACCTTACGATCAGCAGTCGCACTACTACAACCGTTAGACCAACGAGGCAGTCCTTGTAGCATCCACTTTTTATAGGCTGAAATGAATATATAATGGAGCAGTGCGGTAGCTTAACCCTGGATGTCGTAAGAGGCGTCTATTGGAAACCCTAGAAAGATCTGAAGTTCTTTCCATTTTTAGCGGTATAATTTTCTCATTTGTGCCAGACTTAAAGTATCGAGGCGAAAGGAAGCAGCATTAAAGGTGCGAAATTTCTGGTGATGTTTCAGCCTTTATATCCAGCAGTTACTATTACAGGCTGATAAAGATGAAATGTCTTGAAAGGTCAGTTTACATATTATGCCATATTTAAAAACACTTAGTTTTCTTTTACGAGACGTATTGCAGTAGATGAAACGAATGAAATTCTTCTCATTAAACAAAATACCAGTTGAACTATTTATGAAAAATTCATTTTAAGTCATGAAAATTTATGAATGAATAGTTTGTAATATAAATTGTTTTTACGTAGTAGAGCCATGCTACAGCTATATTATGGTTTTTGCACGAATGTGTCGGCTCGACCGAGGCAGGACCACGCTCTCACGGAATACCAGCGTAAAATAACGACTTAATTCTGCTGTGTTTCGTATGGTAATGTGGAAACGAGGCATTCCATCTCAGTCCACAGGGGTGAAAACGTATCTACTATTTGGTCCTTAACCGAGAATAGGAAGATGTCTAAAGGCCACATCATCCACTTACCATCAGTGTGCGCGTTTGCACCCTTATTATATAAAAAAAATGTGCGGTTTCTTGACAGAAATCGAACATTAACCAGTCGTTTCTTTCGCTTTCAGAAAGTTAAAGAGAAAATGCTGACGCCCACTTGACTGCTGTCGGGCAATGCGCCGTAAAGCGGTACGCGCGTCGTTCTGGGCGACGCGCGTAACATGCGCTCGCTGAATGAGACAGCGTGCTCGGCGTTGTGGGACGACGTGCGCTGGGATGAGCCGGCAAGCATCGCAAGTCTCGCCGTGTTAGCGCTCATCGACGTGCTAGTGGTCGCAGGTTAACACGCTCACTTATTATTACTTTTTTATCTACGTTACCAGTTATTTTCAAGGATCAGTAAGCTGAAGTGGCAATGGCCTTATGTCTCGAAGAACTGACAAGCGATGGGGATAAAAGGTCCCTGTTAGATGGCGAGATGATCTGGTGAGAGATGCAGGAATTCAATTGGATGTGGGTGGTGCAGGACCGTGTTTTGTGGAATTTTTTGAGAGAAGTGTATGTATATACTAGTGAAGGGTTTTTATGAAAAATGAGTTATTTTCAATTTGCCGTTTAAACTTTATAAGTTATTGTAAAATCTATATGATCTCATGATGCCTCGCTTAAAGGCGAAACACATGTCAAATTACTTCTACACTGCCAGATACATACATGCTGTTAATTATTTTTTTATTTTGACCTCATTGATAAGCACAAGATATACAAAAGATAATATCACAAATTTATAAAATAGAAAGATGCCGTATTACCGACGGTGTTTTCTATTTTCCAGTGTTAATTGTTATAGTAGGTTCAGTGATATTTGGTGTGGTAGCGGTAGTGATAATGCAGTACTCTTTAGACTCACCTTGGTTACGTATTACGTTATTTTAACATCCTTTTTGTTTAAGTTTTGTATTTAAACAGAGAAAGTACTCCTATAGAATATTAATAGCGTGGAATAATTTTTACAACTTCTTTTAAACAAAGAAACGTTTTTATTTCTGCAGATTAAGACAGGTAAGAGATTGTTAGCAACTTAAACGGATTCTTGGACAGAAAAGAACGTTACGTGGATATCACGCTGAGTTATGAACATGTGGCTGACGTGAAACACCAACGCTTCGTGAAGTCTGCAGTTTTTGATCATGTCCTAGACGGCCCCTGCCATTACATCACATTTAATAAACTACGAGTACAAATCCTTGCAAACGAACATAAATTCCTACAAGGCTATTGAAATAAAAAAATCAGCATTGTCGTTTCTCTATAACAGATGTTATGACTTCCTGCATGTTTTACCAGGTCGTTACTCCATCTAGTGGCGGGTCGCCCTACACTACGCCTACCGGTACGAGGCTGCCACTCGAGAAACTTTTTTCCCCATCGGTTGTTGATTCTTTGAGCTATATGGCCGACCGACTGCCAATTCAGCTTACTAATCTGTTGGGCTATGTCGGTCAATCCGGTACTACTGCGGATATCCTCATTTCTAAGTTTATCACGCAGAGAAATCCCGAACATAGGTCGCTGAGTGACCTGGAGCGTACCCTTATGACCAGCAGTGAAGAACCACGGCTCAAATCCATAAGTCATCACTGGCAACACGCACTGGTTTTACAATCTAACTTTCAGGTTTTGAGGTATATCTGACAAGAAGATGAGTCGTAATTTCCCGAACGCTGCCCAGCCAAGTTGAATCCGTCAATTGGCCTCTCGGTCGACGTTGGACTTACCCATTCAGAATATTTGTCCCGCGTAAGCATACTCGTCAATAACTTAGACCTTAGTGCTCCTAACAACTACCGGCATAGGTGTGACATGGACATTAAACATGATCTTTGTTTGGTCCACGTTCGTCTTAAGACCTATCCGTTGGAATAGACTATTGAGGTCATTAAGCATAGTGCTTAGTTTCTTCAGCGATTCTGCTATAATGATCACGGAAGACCTAAAATACAACCAGCTTATTGAGTAGAAGCGGAGGTCGCTGTCTGTCCACTGTAAAATATTGGTTCGCAGATTTGCTAAATTTATGTACTGACGAAGCAAAGGTTACGCTTTTCAAGGCGTACTGTCAGTCATTTTATACGTGCAATCTGTGGTTTAACGGTCTAGAGGACATTATTATTAAACATCTCGCACCATTTGCGTAGTTAAAGTAAATATAAGCTCAGCATACCTACTGCGATTTATTGGAAACCACAAAATCACGCAGGTATTTTCTTCGTTCGCCTACGTGTTGAGGTATAATTTACAAAACCATGCAATATATTTATAGAATACAAAGCCTCTATATTAGTACGTGATGGATAATTTAAAAATATATACAAAGTCCTACTTCAATAATAGAAAGCAATTTGATTTCAATTTAGATAAAACATATTGTATAATCGCTGTTTTAGGGAATTTATGAAAAAATACCTTCGCATGAGAATTGTGTTATGTCGTCGCCTCTACACGTTGGCCAACACAGTGGCGAATGTAGGGGGGAATATATTGGCCGAGAGTTGGTGACGGCGTCCACACGTTGGAAGGTCAGTTTACTTCGGTTCGGGCCAATTTGCGGACGAATTTATTTTATTTTAGACGACGGCTCCGTGGCGCAGTGATTTGGCAATGAGTGGCTGTGCCAGGGGTCGGGGGTTTGAATCCCGCACGGAACAAGTATTTGTATATCCTACAAATAATTGTTTCGGGTCTGGATGTGTGTCCTTGTGCAATTTATGTTTGTAAGTTGCCTCCGCGATACGGGAGAAAATCCAAGTGTGGGGGGTAACGCTTTTATAAAATAATTATAAAAGAATAGTGAATATTAATGGGGCTGTAAATAGATATACGATATACGATTAGCTTTATTTATTTTTTACATGCATCAGAAACTGGAATAAATACCAATTAATTAGAACTTTACTTATTTTAAAGTTAAAGGAGTTATAATCGATTAGTCTATGTTTTAAAATTGGGTTTTGTTTTTAAAGTTTATCAAAAAGTTTATCAAAATATGTAAATGTATGTATGTACGTAAATGTAATGTGTAATGTAATGTAATGTACATTCTTTGGAGGAGGATGTTCAGTAGTGTACTTGTGAAGAGCTGTAATGATGATGATGATTCGAAAACTTGCACGATTAAATTATAAGAAATCGACGCTTTTTATATGGGATAGGGTGACAAACGAGCACACAGTTCACCTGACCTGTGGCCCACAGACATCTACATCTATCCTCGATGACGAATCAAAATGCAGATGCGTTGTCACCCGTGAGGACTAAGATGAATTGCCTCGTTTCCTTTAAAAAGTGTCTCTGGTTCTCTACACTCACTATACGAAACACAGCATCATTAAGCTATTTACATTAATATTCTGTGAGAGCGTGGTCCTTCCCCGGTCGAACCGACCCATTCGTGCTACAACTATACTTCTAATATAACTGCATGGTTCTACCACGTATAAACGACGTACCTACTTAATTTTTTTTTCATTTTAAAATTGTTCTCGTAATAATCTGATTGTAAATAAATGTTCATTATTATTTTTATAAATAGCTTACCGATTAAAACAAATGTTTAAAAATAATTAAATCGCGCTAATTAAAGTAGTAGGAATGTTTAAAGTTAAAATTGGCACTAAAAGGCTGGTTATTGAGTCATCCACCCTACAAATCGTGAATATAAAATTTTAATCAGATGCGTGTAATCACTCTGGGAGCTTGTAGCAAACTAAACTCGCGACCAACGTGTGGACGCGGCGACCAAACTCTGCCAACAATCCTTTGATCTTTTGTAAAAAACCGACACCACACGGATCTCGCGCCAACTTGCGGGCCATCGTTCCAATACATACCAATGAAGCCCAAACACCCCGTCTACACGTTGGTCAATGCATTCGCCACTGTGTTGGCCAACGTGTAGAGGCGCCGTTAATGGTTAATCACTCGCCGTTCTATTCCCGCCGGAACCACCAATGTGTCACGTGTTATTATATTTACCACGTGTTGGACGATTAAGGAAACATCGTGAGAAATCTACATCTAACACATTAAATGGCTGTCTGTAACATTAAAATAACTGACTTTTAAAGTCTGACAACTTGTATTCTATTGAGATATGAACCTTTGGACATGATTAATGTAATCGGGAATGTCTATTTTGCACGCTCTGTAGCCTAAATGTCTTGATGGATTTTGACAAATGAGATGTCGTTAGATTTGTCTTAACACAGTTGCAATGACATATGCTGGCTGTTTTTTTACTGTCTAGAAAAAATAAGGTGTAACAGGTGAACGTAATAGAACCTACGGAACTGATATTTCACAATTTTTTTATTTTGCATTATCATATTATGAAATTGATCTATCAATTAATACTACTAATATGCAATATGCAAAAAAAGGGAGGGTAAAGCATTTTTACATTAAACTTTTTAAAGCAGTCTGGTTTTCTAATTACTACTTTAACCATTTTACTTCAACACTATCTGACGACAAAATGAATTAAAACGTTTTTGAAACTAATACATCATAAAATTTATTTTAATCATGTTCCCGTATCTTACCAGGTCGTCACTCCATCTAGTGGGGGGTCGGCCTACACTACGCCTACCGGTACGAGGCTGCCACTCGAGAACCTTTCTTCCCCATCGGTTATCGGTTCTTCGAGCTATATGGCCGGCCCATTGCCACTTCAGCTTACTAATCCGTTGGGCTATGTCGGTCACTCTGGTTTTACTGCTGATATCCTCATTTCTGAGTCTATCACGCAGAGAAACTCCGAGCATAGCCCTCTCCATAGCTCGCTGAGCGACCTTGAGCGTCCTCATACGGCCAGCAGTAAGTCATGCAGGAAGTCGATGAATGCAGGTGGCTCAGGACCGTGCTTTGTGTTACTTGGGGGAGGCCTATGTTCAGCAGTGGACTTGTGAAGAGCTGTAATGATGATGATGATGATGATGATGTTCCCATATCGAACATAGTTTTTTATCCAAAATGATTTTTTTTAATATTCCATCATTAGTATGGGGTGATAACACATCTTAATCGATTAATTAGAATAAATGTGTGTATTTATGGGCCACAGATTTAATTTGCTATTTTTTTATAGAATAAGGGTGACAAACGAGCACATAATCCACCTGATGGTAATTGAATGCTGTGGCTCATAGACATCTAACATTTATCCTCGATTAAGAATCAAAACGCAGATGCGTTGTCACCCATGAGGACTCCGATGGAATGCCTCGTTTCCAGTAAAAAAGGGTTTCCGGATCTCTACACTCACTATCCGAAACACAGTA